ACTCGTACGAGTTGCTAAAAGCATCCATCCTCAAGAGAAACGTTCTCACAGATCGGCAACGTCTGGATGAGTTATTTCGTAACATCGAGTTAGGAGATCAGTCAGCCGTGAGCATGCTGGCAAGAATGAAAGAGATCATTGGCCAAAGTCACTTCGATGAAGGACTGTTTAGAGAACTATTTTTATCCAAACTGCCACAGTCAGTTCAGACTGTACTTGTGACACTTCAGGGTGTTCTCATAGATGATTTAGCTGTCTCTGCAGATAGAATTCTAGAGATAACGAAACGGCCAATCACCGAAGTATACTCTGTTACCGAACAGACTTCGAAGAAGGATTCTGCAATGATAGAGTTAATCAACTCCGTCCAGCAGATGCTTAGGTCAAACAAGCCTAGCAATTCCTCAAACCGTCGTTCTAGATCCCCTCAACGGCAAAACGCACGTGGACGATCTAAGTCCAACACACGTTCTGTCAAAAATCCTGACTGGTGTTGGTATCACAACACCTATGGCAAGGAAGCGAAATGTTGTCGAAAACCTTGTGATTTCGGCAAAGCCTCCAAGTCTGTGGGAAACTATCCCGCCGGCACGCGTTAGCGGCAACCGTCGCCGGTGGCACTAGCCGCTTACTTTACATCCATGATGTAATTAGCCAGACTAGATATCTAGTCGACACAGGCGCCGAAGTCAGCGTCCTTCCTGCTACAGCAGCAGATCGACAGAAGGATCCTAACTTCAACCTACAGGCTGCAAATGGAAAACCAATTGCAACCTATGGTCGGAAATACGTCTATCTGAACGTAGGTTTACGCAAACCTATTCGGTGGATTTTTCTGATCGCTGACGTCACAATGCCCATCATCGGCACGGACCTACTTAATCATCATGATTTGCTCGTAGACGTCCGCCGTAAACGATTAATTGACAACACTACTAGTTTGTCTATCAAAGGCATAACTTACGTAGGCCCAAGCTTGTCAATCGTTAAGATGAAAGCAATCCCCGATCCAACTTTCCAACCGATTGTTGACAAATATCCGGAACTGAATTGCCCATCTAACGATCTCCCGTGTATAACCAGCAATGTTATGCACCACATCATAACCTCAGGACAGCCCGTGACATCTAAAGCACGACGACTGGCCCCTGACAAACTGAGAATTGCCAGAAACGAATTCGATCATATGCTCACCCTTGGCATCATTCGGCCATCGAATAGTCCATGGGCATCCCCATTGCATATGGTTCCAAAAAAAGATAGTAACGATTGGCGACCCACTGGTGATTACCGGCGAGTCAACGCCAAAACTACCCCCGATTGCTACCCATTGCCTCACATACACGACTTGACGGCAACGTTATCTGGAGCATCTATATTCTCCAAAATCGACTTGGTTAAAGCATATAACCAAATCCCGATGGCAACGGAAGATATTCCGAAAACGGCTATCATCACGCCTTTCGGACTTTTTGAATTCCTACGTATGCCATTCGGCCTCCGGAATGCGGCCCAAACATTCCAACGCTTCATCAACGAAGTATTTCGCGGTCTCGACTTTGTATACGCATACTTAGACGACTGCCTCATTGCCAGTTCAGATAAGGAAACTCACCTTAGACACTTGGACTTGGCATTTGAAAGGTTACGCCAACATGGTGTTACCATCAATATACAGAAGTGTCAAGTAGGCGTTGACTCACTCGATTTTCTGGGTCACACTATTGACTGTCAGGGCATTCGCCCACTGGCTACTTCTGTCGATCACTCTAAGAAAACGCGTTCTGGACGTCACGTTAGATTCCCAGAATACCTTCACACCTATTTCACATAACTGAGTGACACATCAATTTTTTTTATGTTGCGTCATTTAACACAAGTAAATGATATTTTTCCTATAACCGTACATAAAATTAAATTAGATGTATATTTTTTTCCCGATATTTTGCACTTTACATTATTTTACTGTATAGTAGATGCATGTCATTTTTTTTTGTAAAAAAAAACGCTTATTTGGTACATTTTTCTTGACAAGGTTCTCAGCATTCTTGTTTTCTTTTCCAGGTGCAACGGGCACTGGACAGGAAACAAACGAAGCACGGGATCCAACAAACAACACTGAGGAAGCTATGTACAGACACCCTATTAGCATAGGCAGACAGACCAGCAGGCTCTCCATCAAGCCGCTCGGAAGATTTTTTTCACCCATCAGGGAACCATCGAGATTTTTTTACTTCCGGCTGGTCATGTCTTAGGGTCCTCACAACCCCACTAGGGGGGGAGTGAGCTGTAGCGGTAAATAATTCCCCAAAATTATTAACCACAGCAATCATCACTCAAAATTGGATGCTGACCACCACTGTTTAAGTCGACTTGTTTAGCTGAAGGCTTACGGTCAAGCATCCCCGCCATTTGGTGCTTCGTCGTGTCACGTGCGTGCACGATTACTAGCTAGCTAAGCATTCATTCCTACCCGCGATTTGGTCCCAAAATATATATCGTATTTGGACGACAAAATCTGGTCTTTTGCTTTACCATTTGGTACTCGAAGAACGAACACTATAGTGGTTGTTGGTATTAGATCTTGCGTTAGTATAATCCGTACAACTCGCGAACGTCGATACCTTCAATCACCTAAAAAAATAAGAAAGAGTGGGAGGGTTTTGAATACAGTTCACCTAGGCCAAGGGAGAGACAAAGGTAGAACAAACTTCTTTTGTATGCAAAGACTAGGATTGTTCTCTCGAATTCCCATAGCTTCGGCTAGGTGTAAAAGACGGTTTCTGATTCCATTAGAAAGACTCGATGGAATACGATAGATAACTTTGAAAGCACTATTTTTGTCCACTTGGTGACCGCTATCAATCAAATGAGCCAAAATAGAACTTCGTATGGATTTTATTTGACCTTTTCCGAACCATGAAGGAAGATGCTCATTAATGCGTTTGTTCAGCTGTCTAGTTGTTCGCCCTATATAGCTTTCTCCACAGGAGCAACTAAATTTATAGATACACATTGAAGTGGCACAACTAGGTAGCTTATCTTTCACTTGAGCAATCAAAATTGGTCGGCTGGAAAATGACAAACAAAGGGTAGCGGCAGTATAAGTCCGTTTTATCGCTCTCGATAATCTCTGATGTAAGACTTCACTAGCCACGTCCCCATTAAATTGAAGTTTCATGAACAGTTCTTTCTTTTTAACTGTTGTCGGTTTTTCTTTGTTGTACCTGGTGTTCATGTGTCTCCTAACAACTCTACTAGGAAAACCCATTTGGACCAGCGTATTTTGAATGTATCCTAGCTCGTTTTCTAGGGAATCATCTGTACAAATACGTCTTGCTCTATTCGTAAGGCATCTGACCAAATTGATTTTATATCGGATTGGTACAAAACTGAGGAAATGTGTATATTGTCCTACAGATGTAGGTTTTCTATAGACATCTCTCTTGAGTGAACCATCCTCTCTTCTGCTCAATTGGACGTCAAGGAAATGTAATCCACCATCATGCTCTTCTTCACAAGTGAAGATGAGCGATGGATGTGCATCATTAAACTTTTTTAACATTTCATTCTTGTCAGTTTTCACATCAAGAATAATGAACGTATCATCAACATAACGAAAATAAGAATCAGTTTCCTCTATTACTTGTCTCAATGGACCATTTTCAATCTTGGCTAGAAAGAAATCTGCCAAAATTGGCCCCAATGGAGAACCCATGGCAATACCGTCGATTTGCCTGTAGTAAAGGTTGTTGAATAAGAAGTGTACATTCATAGTACATCTTAAAAGCAACTCTTTCAGACTAATAACTGGAATTCCGATGTCAATCTGCTTTTCTAGTATCTGTTGGCATATGAAATCCACAGTCTCCATAAGTGGTACATTGGTAAACAGTGACGCTACATCTAAGGAAAGCATTTGCTTCCCATTTACATTGATATCATTCACGTTAGCAATAAATTCGAAAACGTCTTTAACATTATGGTTTACTACCAATTTGTGTAGCGGTTGGAGGAGTTCACCTAGCCACTTTGCCACTCCATGGTAAGTAGAATTTGACATATCCAGGACTGGGCGAAGAGGAAGTCCTGGTTTATGTATTTTGGGCAGACCGTACAGACGTGAAGTATTACTTCCAGTAGGTTTAAGACGGTTATAAGCTGCCTCTGAGATTACTCCACTTTTAATCAGTTCCTTAAGCGTGTTAGTTAACTGCTTTTCAGCCTTTCCGTCCAGATCTATGGGGTTGATAAGCTTTTGGAACTTCGTTTCATCCGTCAAAAGTGAGTTCATTTTGTCGACATAATCACACTTATTCATCAGTACTACTCCAGATCCTTTATCAGGTCTACTGATTACAATGCTTTCGTCGTTCCTAAGCTTTCTTAGGGCTTCTCTATGCTGTTTAGTCAGCAAACTCTTACCAGGATGACTACTGTTTTTATACTGTTGACAACTGTCGACTAGTGTAGTTTTAAACCTAGCGACTTCATCGTCTGACGTTGGGGTCAAATCTTTTGTTTGCAGGAGGAGATTTTCAAACTGGATGTTGGTATCGAGTTGGTTGACCTTATAGCCTTGGTCACAAAATCCTTATCGGTATGTCCATAATTTTTCAAGTGTAACACTAGATAAATTACAGTTAGAAGCTCTATCATTGGGTCTTAGATTTTGTGACCAAGGCTATAAGGTCAACCAACTCGATACCAACATCCAGTTTGAAAATCTCCTCCTGCAAACAAAAGATTTGACCCCAACGTCAGACGATGAAGTCGCTAGGTTTAAAACTACACTAGTCGACAGTTGTCAACAGTATAAAAACAGTAGTCATCCTGGTAAGAGTTTGCTGACTAAACAGCATAGAGAAGCCCTAAGAAAGCTTAGGAACGACGAAAGCATTGTAATCAGTAGACCTGATAAAGGATCTGGAGTAGTACTGATGAATAAGTGTGATTATGTCGACAAAATGAACTCACTTTTAACGGATGAAACGAAGTTCCAAAAGCTTATCAACCCCATAGATCTGGACGGAAAGGCTGAAAAGCAGTTAACTAACACGCTTAAGGAACTGATTAAAAGTGGAGTAATCTCAGAGGCAGCTTATAACCGTCTTAAACCTACTGGAAGTAATACTTCACGTCTGTACGGTCTGCCCAAAATACATAAACCAGGACTTCCTCTTCGCCCAGTCCTGGATATGTCAAATTCTACTTACCATGGAGTGGCAAAGTGGCTAGGTGAACTCCTCCAACCGCTACACAAATTGGTAGTAAACCATAATGTTAAAGACGTTTTCGAATTTATTGCTAACGTGAATGATATCAATGTAAATGGGAAGCAAATGCTTTCCTTAGATGTAGCGTCACTGTTTACCAATGTACCACTTATGGAGACTGTGGATTTCATATGCCAACAGATACTAGAAAAGCAGATTGACATCGGAATTCCAGTTATTAGTCTGAAAGAGTTGCTTTTAAGATGTACTATGAATGTACACTTCTTATTCAACAACCTTTACTACAGGCAAATCGACGGTATTGCCATGGGTTCTCCATTGGGGCCAATTTTGGCAGATTTCTTTCTAGCCAAGATTGAAAATGGTCCATTGAGACAAGTAATAGAGGAAACTGATTCTTATTTTCGTTATGTTGATGATACGTTCATTATTCTTGATGTGAAAACTGACAAGAATGAAATGTTAAAAAAGTTTAATGATGCACATCCATCGCTCATCTTCACTTGTGAAGAAGAGCATGATGGTGGATTACATTTCCTTGACGTCCAATTGAGCAGAAGAGAGGATGGTTCACTCAAGAGAGATGTCTATAGAAAACCTACATCTGTAGGACAATATACACATTTCCTCAGTTTTGTACCAATCCGATATAAAATCAATTTGGTCAGATGCCTTACGAATAGAGCAAGACGTATTTGTACAGATGATTCCCTAGAAAACGAGCTAGGATACATTCAAAATACGCTGGTCCAAATGGGTTTTCCTAGTAGATTTGTTAGGAGACACATGAACACCAGGTACAACAAAGAAAAACCGACAACAGTTAAAAAGAAAGAACTGTTCATGAAACTTCAATTTAATGGGGACGTGGCTAGTGAAGTCTTACATCAGAGATTATCGAGAGCGATAAAACGGACTTATACTGCCGCTACCCTTTGTTTGTCATTTTCCAGCCGACCAATTTTGATTGCTCAAGTGAAAGATAAGCTACCTAGTTGTGCCACTTCAATGTGTATCTATAAATTTAGTTGCTCCTGTGGAGAAAGCTATATAGGGCGAACAACTAGACAGCTGAACAAACGCATTAATGAGCATCTTCCTTCATGGTTCGGAAAAGGTCAAATAAAATCCATACGAAGTTCTATTTTGGCTCATTTGATTGATAGCGGTCACCAAGTGGACAAAAATAGTGCTTTCAAAGTTATCTATCGTATTCCATCGAGTCTTTCTAATGGAATCAGAAACCGTCTTTTACACCTAGCCGAAGCTATGGGAATTCGAGAGAACAATCCTAGTCTTTGCATACAAAAGAAGTTTGTTCTACCTTTGTCTCTCCCTTGGCCTAGGTGAACTGTATTCAAAACCCTCCCACCCTTTCTTATTTTCCACCTCCTTTGTACTTTTATAATATTTATTTAAACTCTGATTATCGTTCCACTTCACCTTTTAAGATTTGACCCAATTTATTTATACACTTATATACATATACTATCTTTGTTATTCTTATCACCTGCATAAACCTTATTATCAATATTTTGTTATCATTATAATCATCGTTATTAACTATGTTCAAAACATTTACCACATTATTATGATTACTGTTATTATTATTATTAAGACTATTAAGATTATTATTTGATTCCCAAAATCACCGTCATTGGTTAAAATTTTATATATAAATCTATGTAAATTAGAGTGAAGCCTGAAGAAGATCTAATTGAAAACAATATTGTTCGCTTATATGTCTTGTTCTAATATTTATGTGTGTATAAAAAATACATGTTTCGAGAGTGTGTGTGATCAGGGTGTGTGAGATAATATGAAAAAAACCAACGAATGGGGCGGACTAGACATAAGTTCAAGGTTGAAAATAATGACAGTAAGAAAGATCGTAAAATAATAACGATGATATGGTGTAAAATTACAAGCACTACTGGTGAATGATTGTCAAATAATAATAGTAATGAATATAATGAAGTGGAATGAACAGGATTTTGTAAATACGATAGCAAGTTAGAAAAGCACTACTTAACCTAAGGAAATAAAATCATAAGAAAGGTCATGAAATCATAAAAGTCGAAAATGAACGATTGTCAATGAAACAGAGGAATGGAAGAAGAAGAAAAGAAAAGAAAATTGTGAAAGGAATTTATAGTGTTAATGAAGGATTTGTTGGCTTTATTGTATGCCAAGGTCAACATAGTGGTTGAACATACTTCCTCTGTATGCAAAGAGATAGTCTTCTGGAATTAATTGCCACCCCTTCAGCTACTGATAGAAGATGCAGTGGAGCTCCGGTTTAATAATACTTTGATTAAGTTATTAGCACTAAATAGCGAAACGTGAGTAAAAACAATATCGTTTTGTTTTTCATTCTTTGGGAAATTCAAACACCTTTATTATAATGAAGAGATAAATGATATGAAAATTATTAAAGTTGAATGAAGCTCAAAATAATTCCAGTTGCCTGCATATCGTTGTAGTTGCAGTCATTGGACGGTTAAAATAATTATTATCCTTTCCAGGATGTTGTTCAGTCACATGGTATTTATGACCAACTTCACAATTAATAACCTAAGCATGTGACTACTTCAAACTACCGATGAGTGTTTTCATAGCACGCATTTCATTATCACAGTAGATGATAAGGAAATAAAAATATATTTAGCAGTATTTCGTAGTTGACAATTCAGTGAAATTCGATCCCTCAAGCGACTACTCTTACTACGAGTACTAGGAAAATATAAATGCACTCAACCACTACCCAACTTGGTAGGGAGGGAGCGAGGGTGGTGATAACTCAGTTATTATCTTTTTGATATCATAATCATCATCATCTTGTCTATCCTTCTCCCTAATAAGTATGATTACAGTTCAGTTGACAAGATCGAGGTCAAATATGAAAAGCAACAAAGCTTAAAATGAATTTATAAACTAAATGAAGGTTGGGGTGGTGTGAGTGTGTTAATGTAGTGTAGTGTAGTGTGATGCATTCTACTAGTGAGGAACTCAACGATACCATACTTGCCCCGTGTTTTAAGCGACAGAGACAATGTTAAGCGTGAAACCTATGACTTGCTTTGTTGTTAATAATATAATTTTAGGCTCTTTTATTTCTCTCTTATTTTGTATTCTATAGTGAACTCCTTCTCAAACATAATTAGCTATCTAAATTATTCACATTGGCTTCCTTTTTTGTACTTTACTATATTCCTTCTATTGTGTATCCACTGGTTCCGACTCTATTAGCACTATGATTATTACAAAATTGTCCTGTCATTAACCATCATGTAATTATTAGTTTTGTGGTTGTTTTTTCTTATTTTCTATACTTTTCGGCAATATTAAACTGACAATCACCGGTTGTGAACGCTATAGTCATCACCTTAAACAATTTTGTATTATTCAGGATTACTCACACTACCACTACAAACACTGCATTAAACCTGACAATAAAAAACAAACCAACAACCCTGAAATGTTACTTTATGATTGTTTTGAGTTGTTTCAATCAAATTAACTGACCATCTTGGCGATAAACATTCTTAAATATCATTTCATAACTTCCTGTATGACTATAGATTTACTGTAACCATGCATAATCATATCATAGCTTCCACTACCCAATACTGAGTTATTATTATATGATGTTTATTTTCCTTTCTACTTCTTGGTACTTTTTCGCCTTTAAAATTATTTTGTGTTTATCCTGTTTTGTTTTTTTTGCTTTTGATGTATTTAGATTTATTTTTTTGTTTGCTTAATACATCTTTTAAATGTTTGTAAAATTAGATGCAAATATTGTAGATATGTGCTGAAAATTCCACACTGTACCACTAGTACTGTTTCTGGAATAAAGCAAATTATTATTATTATTATTATAAAATATATCTCGTCAGTGAAATGTTACAAAATTTAATGACAACGATTCGGTTAACATGAGGTCGAAAATGTAAAACCAAAAACAATTTATGAGAAATAGAACATATCAGACAGACATGTTTAAGGCACTCACCACTATCAATGCACTACTGTTTGTAGATTATACTTGTCACAATTTATGATTAGCAATATTTTATGATGATAACGATTCACCTAGGCTGATGCTGATGATCATGATGAGGATGACAAGCCGATTACTGAAAACAAAACAAAACAAAATAAGATATTAGAACAAAATTTCGGCTACATACTACTAATACTACTACAGGTGAAACCACATATGTAATACTTGTCACGAATGAATGAATTGATGAATGAATGAGTGAAATGTAACGGAGAATTTAGATTCTAAAAATCAAATCGAACCAACATGAGAAGTTGGGGGTGTGGTGTGGAAATTGAAATGTCACACAGATAAGATTATATTATTAATAATGTTCCCTTGGGTTCCTAGAGGAACATAGGTCTTCAACTGCACGTCTCCACTTGTTTCTGTCTTCTGTTGTATTTTTCACCTGCATCCATGTTAATCCATACTGTTTCATCTCCTCCTCACACGATCTCCTCCGTGTGATTCTTGGACGTCCCACTCGCCGCTTCCCTTTCGGGTTCCACTCGAGGGCCTGACGCGCGATGTCACCCAGTGGCCTCCTCAGCGAGTGTCCAATCCATCTCCACTTTCTCCTGCATATTTGTTGAGCGATTTGTTCTTGTTTTGTTTGTTCCCATAGCTTCTTGTTGGTGATTCTTTCCGGCCATCTGATCTTCAGTATAGAACGAAGACAGTTGTTGATAAAGGTCTGCAAACTGTTGGAAATATTCTTGGTGACCCGCCAAGTTTCTGATCCGTAAAGCAAAACTGACTTCACGTTTGTATTGAAAATCCGAACTTTGTTGTTGATGCTGAGTGACGAAGATTTCCAGATTGGTTTCAGGTTGATGAATGTGTTTCTCGCCTTCCCAATTCTCGATTTGACATCCTCATCCGTTCCTCATGTAGTTGAGACAATGCTCCCTAGATAAGTGAATGAAGTAACCTCATTCAAATCCCTCCCGTTGATGGTTATTGGCACTGGATGTTACTGTTGTCGTTGGTCTTGTCTATGTTCACCTGCAGTCCTGTCTTTGCTACTTCTTCGACCAGTTTGTCGGTTTTCGCTTGTAATTCTTCGATTTTGTGTGACATCAAACATAAATCATCTGCGAAATCCAGGTCTTCTAGGTTCTTCGCGTCGGTCCAGGATATCCCTGTCTTCTTGTTTCCCACTGTCTGACGCATAATCCAGTTATATTAAGCATCCTTGTCTGACTTCCATGTTTACTCCAAACGCCTCGCTGAGTTTTCCGTTGTGGATCACACACAGGTGAGATAGGATACTTGAATAAGTAAAATGTTGGTAATGGATATTTCATTTGCGCACTACTACCGTCACATATCAGATCACATACATGCAAACCTAACTAGCTAATACAAACGAAAAAATGAGGCAAACGTGTGTGTGTCGGGGGGAAGCCTAGAGAGAGGTATATAAGCGGTGCTGCTTACGTTCAAAGACCACTATTACAGAATTTATTAGGCATGCAGGTGAGTGAGTAAGTGAGTGAGTGACATTTTCGGTGTAGACTAATTGTCCATTTTTATTCTCAGCAGCATCATCATCACCATCAGGAGGAAAACAACTCAGATAATGTGGAGTTCGATTGGGAGATATTGAAGATGATGCAGCAAGTTGTAAGACAGGCAGAAGAAGATGCTTTTCTGGTAAACTGCATGAATAATGACGCCTTGATGGATACAGTTAGTCCAGATTTCACTGACGTGATTGGGATATCTGGAAAGGTGAATGCGTATCTAGGGAAGAGGTGCCACGGGATGGATAATACTGTACCGTTGTCGTATTTCTCCCATTTCATCATTTCGAGACGGTGTTGTCAAAGTATATAATAAAAATGAAGACACTAACAATGACACCTTGCCAACGCCTTGTTATTACCGGACCGTACCGGAGTGGTTAGTAAGTACCGTTTTCTCTTTCTTACAAATTAATAAGGAATACCATGACATATGACAGAGATTTCGGTTGCTTACATCAAGCCACATGATCCAGATTTCAATATATTTGTGTATTTGATGACCCATTAGCTCCAATTCTAATGTATCAGCCTAAATATATGCCATTCATCATTTTCAGTAATTTGATTGCTCCTAACTGACATTCGTCATCTCCTCTTGGCAAAAGGACGACAAGTGTATCTAACCAGTAGGAATAACTCTTACTTACATTTCGCATACTTGTTGCTTTCGATTAAAGACAGCTGTCTGTCTCATCTAACGAAGCTAGCTGCCAGTGATTATGAATCCCTGAATACTGACTAATTACTGACTCGGTAAGTATTTGAAAATAATTATAATAATATTAATTTACTTAAGCATGTGTCGTGTGTCAATGGAACTCGTCAACTTGTGGTGTACGAACATCTTAAACATTGTTAGTATTAACAGTGAATCTCGATAGCAAAATCACCTTACAGCCAAGGATGTTGACTACATTCTGGAGTTTCCGATTGCAATCAGAGTGGAAATCACTTAAAGATAATTATCATTATCATGAGTACTATTATAATTATTTTTATTACTATCATGATTATTATTATTGTCTCCTTTAATTCCTAGAGGAACACATGGCTACAACCGTATATCTCCATTCCGT